TTCAACAGTAGCTTAAGCAAGTAAGGATTTGTTTTTCTCACATAATAAGAATCCTGGAGGTAGGTAGTTGTTCACATTAGTTATAGTGGCGCAAAAAACTTGGGCTTATATCTGTGCAATTCCCTTGGTATTTCCCACACACACATTAACTCACAGTCACCCGTTGGCCGCTGCAACCCAAAGCATTATATGTATTCTAAGGGTAAGAAGAAAAGCAGGAGGAGGAAAGAGAACCCCAATAAACTCCAATCCTTTTTATCAAGAGAGTAGATACGTTTTTAGAAACTCCTACAGCACACTTTCTTTGAAATCTCAAGGAGTGAAGTGGGTTTCAAGGATATCTCCAGTTGCAAAGTATATACATACATACAAGTTGAAAAAATACAGAATACAGTTGTAATACAGGCTTAAGCTAATCATGATCAGTTGCATGGCGTTGGACTCACTACATCCCAAAAGAAACTCAGGGTTCTATTTTCAGTTAAGAAGTTGGAAGTCAGCATTGGATAGGCAAGTGAGCCTCCAGCCTGTTAAAACATCCCATCCCATGACCTCAGTGATTTGTCCATAGATGAGCACATGACCCAGACCCAGGCAAAAGGGCACTTAAACAAGGTTGTTGAAACTCCCTGGAGAGACAGCTGCCTGTAGTCACAGATTATACCTAATAAAAATCTTTTTATAAGAAGCAAGCCAACATAGAAAGAAGTAAAGAAAACAGTTTAAGAAAAAAGAAAATGTAAATGGCACTCAGGTCACTGATTCTTACAGAATCTGCTAAAGCAAGTTTTACATCTACACTTGTTATAAGATCCAATTAATTTTCTATTATGATCAAACGAGATCAATTTAGATCGCTATCCCTTGCAACCAAAGACATCTGATTAACCTACTTCTTAACATGTTTCCCTGTTTCCAGCCTCTTCCGACTTGTCTGTGCAGCAGTGAGTCCTTAAAGCTGCTTTTCTCAAAAACAAATCCAGTGATGCCACCAACTGACGGTCACCAATTTGTGATGTCTTCCCCCATCACCTGCAAGATGAAGTTCAAACAATTTATTATATTAACAGCAATTCATAACTTGGCTCACTACACGCAATAC